AAGGTGGAAAGCTTGATTTAGTCAAAAGAGCCTTGGACACTTAGTGGCAGTAGCTTACTTCTTGCTAGAAGCTTTGGTTTTTTTTTTTTTTCCCCTACCCTCTCTTCAGCTGGATTTTTAAAGAGACTTAGCTTTTTTTTTCCTTTCCTTTTAATTTTTTTAATCCCATTTTATGTTTAATTAAAAAATTAATTTTTTTATTTGCATATTACTAGCCGCTTTCTTTTAACGGAAGACCGAGATGCTCTTATTGTTCTTGTTTCCTGGCAGGTTTTTCTGGTTTCCTGGCTGTGACAAATGAAGTAAAAAATTATATTTGTAATCTAGACATATGTTTATGATGTTATATTTCATATTTTGTATTGTATCTCTTGTGTTTTTATTCTACTGAATTGCAATGTGAACGTGCCATACGATAAAAAAATAAAGAAATATCCGCAGTTTCGTCCGTCCACAAAAATGCTGAGTCAAGGGCGCATGGCAGAAGTCCGGATTTACCGCTCAGGGGCTCACCCCCTGCTCAACGTCTTTTTTTCGTGGAGGGATCCTCGGAAGCCCCTGAACGGTAAATCCAGACTATGGATAAAATCAGTCCGTTAAATCACAAGCCCAAGTTTCCTGGCATTTGACTTCCGCGAACCCCCTAGAAGGCTCGCGGACCCCTTTCCAAGACCGTTTTTCTCCCAAACTTTCCTTTCGGCTTTGGTGTCCAAGGAACGCTCGTCGCGCGCCTTCCCTGGGAGAAGCCGGACTCACTCCGAAGCGCAGACGCTCCGTTGCAACGATGGAGATTCGGGACCTTGGAGAAGGGCTCTTCTCCGGAACGATGGAGAGTCGGGGCCGCCTGCAGGCCACTCCCGCGGCTTGATTGGCTCTGCGGCCCGCCCAGAGTTTTTGGGTGGGCGGGGCCAGAAGGGGAGACCGGAACTGAGCCGGAGCAGGCGTGGCCCGGCAGGCTTCCGCTTTGTTCGCCACCGCGGATCAGTAGAGAAGGCTGCGATGCTGTTTGCGGGTGCCCCTCTTGCTCCTGGGCCAGCGCTGGGGGCCGG